CGGCGCCCCTCACCTGGAGGCCGGGCCAGTGCGGGGCAGGCGCTGCCGGGCGGCTCCTCTCACCATCCGCGCCGCCTCCGCCAGCTCCGCGGCGAAGCTGCTCCTACCGCTAGCGCTGCCGCTCGGTGCCGGGGGAGCGCGGATGCCGCCTCACACTAGTCTGGGAGGCGGATTTGCCCCGCCCTTTCCAGGTTCTAATTGGCTCGTCGCTCGGCGACTCCGCTCTCTGACTGGCTGCAGCCCCCGTCACTCTCATGCCATCTCCCTAGCAGGATAGGTTGAAACCGCGAGTATGGCTCTTGCTGCTTAGATACGGACAGGAGCGGCTGTGCGGGAGGCAGGGGCGCCACCGTGTGGGGAGGGGAAGAACTGCACCTGCAGTCTGCCCACACCGGGGTGCTGCCTGATCCCTACTGCTCAAGACAGACACACAAACAGCTGGAGAATTTTATTTATCGTGTGCATAGTCGTCTAGCCAAGCGATGGCATCTTCCGTGGCATGATGCAGTTCTTTTAGGCCACCGCTGAACCTAGTCAGCAGGCATTCATCGGCAATGTGCATTGTCTGTGTTGCACACAGCTGCACAAAGGGCTGTCACAACGGCCCCAGCGATGCTGGTTGGCTGCACAGAGATCTTGCCCAGTCCAGAACCTCTTCAACAGGGACCATTGGCGATGGGGCAGGTCAAAACCAGGAGGGCAAATTGTGGGGTCGGTGATAAGGGACTGGTTGGGGATTATAACAGATATACATACATTCCTCTCGCCAGAGTGTTTCCGCCCTAACAGCCTGGCATGGCGGATGAGACCATAATGGGCAACGTGACAGCAAATGTTCAGCTGGTGGTTTTAAAAGGTCATTGTGCAACAGCAGGCTTGGGTTGGTGTGTACTTTCTCCAGTAACTTGCCAATGGCAACCTCTCATCTGATATGAGGAGGAGCAATATTGCTCAGACCTGGAAGCCATGGGAATGGAGTCAGACGCAGGGTGCCGGAGATAATACGCATGGCAGCATGTAACTGCATATCCACCAGTTTGGTGTGTGACGATCGATTCCAAACTGGTGCGTAGTACGAGGTGGCAAGAGCTGACGTCCACGAAGTTGGAGCACAAGCACCCCATGACGAACCTGCCAATTTGCTAAGAAGATTATTGTGCTTCTTAACTTTAGCTGCTGTCTTCTTCAGGTGGGCATGGTAACTCAGTGTGTGGTCTAAGGTCACACCGAGATAGACTGGTTCTACTTCATGCTTCACCTTTTGACCATTCAGATAATTTTAAACATTCAGTTCTCGGGTTGCTCTGGCATGATGAAGATGGCACAAACTGGATACTGTTTTTATGACGCTTGTCAAATGCACAAATACAAACTGAGAAAATAGATTTTTCTCTGATCTCTGTTACATCAACCTAAAGCTTCAATCTCACAATTGGATCCATGCAGGTAGATCCTGTACCCATGAGGAGACCCTTGGTCTACCCATCTGGAAATATCTACAGGTTCAGGGCCTCAGATGTCCCATTAATAATAGGAGGAACACCATTTTCAGAAAGAAGCATGATTTTCAAGTTGACACTACCCAGTTAAGATGGGGCAGCATTACCACAGTGATGACATTCATGGATTTGAGCATTTTAATTGTCTTTACAGCGGGTCACATCAGTGTCTTGCACAGTATCCTCAGACAGCATTAACCTCTTACTCTCTAAGACCCTAGTGATCAGGTCTGATTATCAGCCAGGCATTATAACATGGAATGTTACAGAGCGGTAGTTATGGTACATGTATCTTGAGAGCTACTGTTACCTGTTACCTTAGATACTCACAGATCAATCCGAGTATAAGGGCTGGTCTACACTATGGGGAGAGATCGATCTAAGTTACGCAACTTCAGGTACGTGAATAACGTAGCTGAAGTCGACGTACTTAGATCTACTTACTGCGTTGTCTTCACTGTGCTGTGTTGCCGGGAGACGCTCTCCCATCAATTCCCCTTGTGCTTCTCCTTGAGGTGGAGTACCGGAGTCGGTGCTAGAGCGATCGGCGGTTGATTTATCGTGTCTATACTAGACACGATAAAGTGACCCTCGCTGGATCGATCGCTGCCCGTGGCTAGTGTAGACATGCCCTAAGAGACACAGGACCTGATCATGCAAGGGATCCATGCAGAGCCCCATTGAAGCCCTGGGCCTGCCCATATGCAGAGCCACTGCAGAATCCCAGCCTCATGCAATATAATTACTTGGTCGTTACTATACTTATTATATTGGTTGATTTTATGATAATGGCAGCAATTGCTAGGATTGCTATACAGTAACATCAGTGCATAGATCAGGGTTCAGCAACCTTTCAGAAGTGGTGTGCCGACGAGTCTTCATTTATTCACTCTGATTTAAGGTTTTGCGTGCCAGTCAGACATTTGAATGTTTTTAGAAGGTCTCTTTCTAGAAGTCTAGAATATAGAACTAAACTATTGTTGTACGTAAAGTAAATAAGGTTTTAGAAAGGTTTAAGAAGCTTCATTTAAAATTAAATTAAAATGCAGAGCCCCCCGGACCGGTGGCCAGGACCCGGGCAGTGAGAGTGCCACTGAAAATCAGCTCACGTGCCGCCTTTGGTACGCCTGCCATAGGTTGCCTACCCCCGGCATAGATGAATGACTTCTAGGGCCAGCAGCCCCAGGACTCCCACCCCTCCCCTCTGGCTGTACCATTGCGCTGCGAGTCTGCAGGGGGCGAGTTGCAGTGCGCCGGCTCCTCCCATCACCCCTGCACTGTGAGACCGGATTGGTTGATCTCGCCCAGTCAGGCTCTTTCGCGTTCTAACTTCTGGCCTCGCTCGGCTTCCGTCCTTTCGCTCCGAGCCGCTGCCGACATGGTGAGTCGATTCTGCGGCCGGGACCCCTCGAGCTCTAATCCGGAGCCATCCGCGGGGAGAGGCGGCCCCCGGGAGTGCGGGAGGGTCCGTAGGCCCGGCCGGGACCCCCGAGGCTCGGCTAGTCCCTCGCGCGGGAGCTGCCGGCACAGGCCGGGAGCGGGGGAGCCGGGGCCGCGGAGCTGACGCTGGGGCTAGGCCGCGCTGGATGGCCCCTGGGCTCCGAGGGGCGGGCCGGACCGGGCCCGGGGGCAGGCTGGGGAGGGGACCGGGGGCAGGCTGGGGGGCGGCGGGCCCGGGCCTGGCTTTGAGGCAGCAGCCGGCTGGGGTCTGAGGGCTGGGCTCGGGGGAGGCCCCCGGCCGGCCGGGTTCTGAGCGGGCTCTCGCTCTCCTGGGCAGGCTAAGATCAAGGCCCGGGACCTGCGAGGGAAGAAGAAGGAGGAGCTGCTGAAGCAGCTGGATGACCTGAAGGTGGAGCTGTCCCAGCTGCGGGTGGCCAAGGTGACTGGCGGAGCCGCCTCCAAGCTGTCCAAGATGTAAGTCCAAGCCCCGGGGGACGCTCGCTCTGCGCTCCCACTTAGGGGCCTGGCCGTGAGCCTGCGGGGGGGAGTGGGGGCCTATCTGAACTCCCGCCTCTGTCTCGCAGTGCTGTGCCTCAAGGTGGGGAATCTCCAGGGCCCCTGGCTCCAGGGTTCCTTTAGCCTACAGGTGCTTCAGCCCTCATCTAACCCCAGCCATAGGCTACGCTGTGGGCACACACACTGAGCCTGTTGCAAGGGGAAGGGAGCATTACTTGCCTCTTTGTCTGAGGAGGTTGTGAAGGCTAGGACTATAACAGAGTTTAAAAGAGAACTGGATACATTCATGGAGGTTAAGTCCATTAATGGCTATTAGCCAGGATGGGTAAGGAATGGTGTCCCTAGCCTCTCTTTGTTAGAGGGTGGGGGTGGATGGTCGGAGAGAGATCACTTGATCATTGCCTGTTAGGTTCACTCTCTCTGGGGCACCTGGCATTGGCCACTGTCGGCAGACAGGATATTGGGCTGGATGGACCTTACCTTTGGTCTGACCTAGTACAGCCATTCTTATGTACTGCTTACAACTGATATCGCTGTAACAGTTTCTTCACCTAATATAGACAGGCTGCTTCTTGTTGATATGGCACATTTGAGATATATGATGTAGCAATACCATCCTTGTCCTGAAACAACAAGGAGTCTGGTGGCACCTTAAAGACTAACAGATTTATTTGGGCATAAGCTTTCGTGGGTAAAAACCTCACTTCTTCGGATGCACTCTGAAGAAGTGAGGTTTTTACCCACGAAAGCTTATGCCCAAATA